AAAAAAAACGCTGCACTGTTTATTAATTAATGCATATGTCGAGTTATGAAGTTTATACAATAATAATGAGACGAACTTCTATTTAACAAAAAGGAATAAATAAACTTATTACTTATTTGTCATTACATTATGTGGGATCATCTAGAGATATACCCTTTTGTCAGTATCATATCCGGTTAATGTTTAGTTATAAGTAATTATTTTAACAAAAAACTAATACTAATTCAATAACTTCTGTAAGACAGTAAAATTATTCTATGTAATATACAAAAATGAAAAAATTGAGTTCTAATAACTATTTAAAATTATAATACTCGAAAATTTCAAAGGCGTTAGTTTTTAAGCTCTCCTGTAAAATGCAGTTTTCAGAGTTATCCCCTTTTGACTTTTTGCCACAGAGTTATTTACGTCACAAGTGAGATAGTGGCTTTATTATTTATTATACAAGTGACCAGTCTGTTCACAACGGATATAATTATAGTGTATTAGTCATCTTCTGTCACGTAAAATTTTATCTACATTCCACAATTTATTAAAAAACGCTTAAAATGTTGGTGTATAAGTTAGAGGCCGGTAATTAACTCATTACCTAACTTAGATGAGTAGATAATATATTTTTACATAATATCCTTGGTATAACTTCGATGTATTATAATAATTTATAACAATACAAAACAATTAAAGAATTATATACAGTTATTTTATTGTTTCTTTCTCTTTACATCTTGTAATGCTGTATTTCTAAGTCCGTTTATCTGTTTATTTATTGTCGTTCTTTGTTAAAATATAGTTTATTTATCTGTTGCTTCGTGATTAACGACGACTGTTGTAAATATCGTTATCGCCAGCGTAGCATCCGACACAGCACTTGATTACACGACGAACCAGATGAAAACTAAAAATTGAAGTATTTTATACCTTCACACCTTTACCATTGGTCACCATTTTGTTCCTTAAAAAATAAAATTCTGTACAACACCGACACTTACTGGCGTCGACCACTAGTGAAAGGCCAATTTATTATTATTTTGTTTTTCATTCCAAACTTTCACCATCTTAATAAACTGAAACCCCAAAGCTATTAAGTCCAACACCAGAGAAGACCTTAACCGTCGATTTTGACGCTCATTTTGACTATTTTTATCTCGGCGCCTCATTATTTGCCAAAATCCAATCACATGAAAACGCAATTAGGCGATTCCAGATATTTCGACAAAACTGAGTTTCGTATTCGGGGATTACGGACAGAATTAATACACCGATAAGAATATTTACACGTTAACGCATAATGGCAAAACAAAATAATTCTCATTAAGCCGCTGACAATCGCACTCGAAAATTAATCACGATTACGCTAAATGAATTTTTGTTTCGCAATTCGAACGGGTCTATTGTTGCTTTTATCTGTGTCCTTTGATTGACGAGAGGGCGATAGGTGACGTAGAGGCACACCTTTGAGGGAGGCAAACAAAATGGCGAAGTGGCGCCTAAAGCCTTTTTTCGTCTCAAGGAGAAACACCTGTTTGACATTTAAACTATTTTTATGAAAAACAAATAGCGGTATTTGCAAAAATTACCATTTTTAAGTTAAATCAAGTTCGAGTGATGCTTTAAATCGTAATGCATTGCCATAAGTGTGTCAACACTTTCTTTCCATTTCAATTGAAATTTTATAACCCGCGAAATGTCAATGTAATCACTTGCACTTTTTACGAGTTTGGTGAATAAAAATTTCTTTCCAGCTGCGAATCCTACGCTTCTAATTTAAATAATCCATGTTCCAGTGGAATAATGAAAAATGCAGCACTAAAGGTTATCCAGATTTTAGCATTGCGAACTGTGTCAATGACTTTTTGAGATGCCCCAGATGTATAACCTGATTTTCGTAGTGTCTAATGTAAAACGGAATTTTTGTTGTTGTAAACTTTGGTCAAGGCGCCGGTTTAATGTCAAAGTGGAAAAAATTTCGGAATGTTATCAGAATATATCATGTTATTATTTACTCTCAACGTGGGTTAGTTTTATTGTGCGCGAGATAACACATCAAATGTTATTTTAAAAAAATGTGGTGTCTCAATATTGAGAACATTTGGGCGATTTTTATCTCCCGTTTGCGTTTATCTAGATCTGAAAAATAAGCTGAAGCGGATAACATCTGTCAAAGTGTCAGGATGCGTCAGCTTTAAATAAATTCAATAACTAATTGCCATTTGGAATTTATTGTACTTTAAAATGTAATAAAATAATGACGATCAACCTTGGATCTTGACACAGTTCGATAGGATAATCGCAATCAGCTTTATTAAAAAATTGGGCTTTAATGGATGTGAGTGCAATGTCAATGGACCAACAAGTTTTCTAGAGAAGTTGTCTTTGATAAAGGCTTTATCAGTGAGCGGTTCAAATGAAGGTCAAGACTAAATTGACACCACTAATACAACAGTTATAATAATAAAGATTTTGCAAAATCTAAAAAACCCCTTTTCAAAAATTTTGACTAAATTTTTACTTGTGTTTCAAAACGTAAAAATCTCAATGCGGTAGAAATATTTTAATTATGTTAGCATTTTCCTCAAATTTGCATCCAATTGTTTACACAAATAATTATCACGTTTTTTCCATTCAACTCAGCTTAATTCACGTCTTAGTTATAAACGCAGAACAAGCTTAAGCTCTGCCTTATAAATACGTGCAACACCTTAAATAAAACAACTTAGTGCTTTATGACACCTTCCAATAAACAAAATTATTGAGTACGTCACATACAAATAACTCACTTAACAAAAATAATTGCTTATAATAATAATAAAAAACTTCAATAACTTTTACAATTATTAATGTCACCTTCGACTTAATCTGATTGTAATCTTATCTCCTTAATTGGAAGTTCAATCTTAAAATTATTTTGGGGAAATTATTTCACAGAAAATTATTAAAGTCTTAGTTATTTTTCCAGATTAGATGAACCGATTGTAAAAAAAACAAAATACTTCCACCGATTAGACAAATATTGACTCAACACAAACAATTAAGACAAAGTGGAACAGAAGAGAAATCATTCACCATTATGGTGCGTGCGTCAAAATTCTCCACACCTAATTAAAAGCTTTATTATACGATCTTAACATATCTAAATTACTTAATTCATCAAAGTATAATATATTAATTACGTCTTCTTTCACAATTTCTTATCTCATATCGCCAAACAAGTCAAAAATCTAATTTTATTGTCTCGATGTTGATCTCGTCATTACTATTTTTACTATTTTTGGTTGTGTGACGACTCGATTGATTATAATCTTTACGCCGTTTGAGGTTCACAAACAATAAAACAATATGGACGGACTCTGTGTAATCGGTCGCAATAATTTTCATTACAAATAGAATGTTTTGCTGTGAGTGATAACACTCCGTAATAAGGATAAATAAATATTTTATAAAAAACTGATAATCAATGGAAGAAAAATACCACCCGAGCTGACACCAATTGATTTAGGTTCGATCCAAAGTATAGTGTAATGTAAATATAGTTGTTTAGCAATAATTCCAATTATTTTGTGTAAATAATAGAAAACAAGAACTGCGTCACCAGGTATCTTATAAAAATGTGAAATATTGGGTGGTTCTCCCGACCTAATAACTTCTCCGAAGAATCGATTATGTAGATTACCTATATGTATTTATTTATATTTAGTAGTGGCGCCAGAAATTACTTTCAGATAATAGGACATATATGGATTAGAATTCCGAGAAGGTCACACTTGTTACGAGTGAATCTTTTAATGAATGTTTTCCGCACTTCATTAATGAGATAAATGTCACATCAAGTAAAATCCTTGATAAAAGTGGAGTATGTAAACTCTACAAAAGCTGTTTTAGAATTGCTGGAAATTTTTCTGTTCGTGCTTGTACTTTTTTCAACTTAAGGTGATAACAAATCACACCATCTTTTGCTCACATGATTTGTAAGAGTATTTTACACTCTTCGAAAACCCTTACTTACATTATCAATATTGGCTGCGGTTTCTATAAGTGGTCGTAGTGGAAGAACTATGAAGATGAATACAACTTGGCAGACTATTTTTTCTGCGTTCTTATCTGAGTTTTAATTTTTCATCATGCTATAAACATTTTTTTTTAATAAAAAGTATGTCGAAATACGTGTTTAACATAAATATAATGGTTCTGATATAACTATTTGGCAATAGATATGATTTCATATTAATTTGAACGAACAGATGACTATTTTTTTAACTAGAATGAATACAAGTCAGCCACATTTCTTTTAATTTATACAGTCGGATATCATTTTAAACTCAAATGCAAATTTCCTTTCAAACTTCACACGTTAGATATTTTCGACGATAAAGATCTTTTATCTTGACAAAACAGAGTAAACAACATCTCATTTGATGTTACAGATTATTAAGGTTGGATGAGTACTCAATAATATCGATAAAACCACTATTAGCATCGCTAGACCCCAGAAGTCCCTAAATGAACACTACTCAATAAAGCGTAAATCAGCCAAAAACAACCTGATATTAAAATAGCGCGCCTAATACTTGACATTTGGCGCATCTCAACACCCAAGATATTGGCGCGTACTAGAACTTTCACTCAAACACTTCAAGATCGGACGACAAATTTGCACTTAAATTGAAAACCTTACGCAATAGTCGTGCGATAATTTGGGTTACTACTTATTGTCGGTTTAAGCATAATAATGAGAGAGTTTGTATTCCACTAGACCGCTGTTAGAACTACCGGAACAGCGACATTCACCAATTCTCACTTTTATGGCAGGCGTGTGGCATTCCATCAACACAACACTCGACCTTAGTCGCGCATTATCAAGAAATTAAAAAGTTGCGCCAGCCACCAACACGACGAACTTGAAACGTGCCAAGTTCAAGAACTGAGCCCAAAAATTCGCACTTTCTAATGCAAGTAATTTTGCGCAACTTTTTTTTATTGTTAAAATGATGAGTCTGACTTACTTGGATGTTCCCCATCGTCTGGAAGGCCGTAAAGACCAGCATGAAGGCCAAGCCCAGAAGGACGATGTTGATCAGACGCCTGTCGAGAGCCATTTTTGTTCAAATTTGAGTACGAACTGACTTGTGGTCAAGCAAAACCCATTCACTTTCGCTCTGATTGTTTATCTGGTTTGAAAATTCTGATTGCAAATGGTTTTATAATGCGGTTGGTGCTGCCGTCTTGTGGTCGGATCGTAAACGCACGTGCAGATAAAATTGGTCTGTGATTTGGTGCAATTAGGAGTGTTTTGACCGGATTCAGGTAACGGAATCGTGGAGTAAAATACTGGCCGCACTCGTGGGATAATTGTTATTTTTATTGGTGTTGTTGTTTTCGTGCTCTCTTTACTGAACTTGGTATTTCGGTTTCACTTATTTATTTATTTTTTTGGTGTTAGTGTTAATTGGTGAAATATGCGGTCTGACTGAGAGTGATAGGATTAATAAGATCGACATTTCGCTTATGAATTATTTATGAATTTGTACTGGGTCCAGTGGTGGCTCCTGGTGGGTGGGGTTTGAATTAGAGAAAACGGGAATCCCCAAACACAGATCATCTGACGTTAACACATTTAAGACGCAACAACCTTTCTCTCGTCAATAACATTCATAATTATTAGTTGCAAGTAATGCTGGGATGGTTAATGTCTTGTTATTGTAAACCCAGTGTTGATTCTGCTATTTTTAAAAAAATGTTCTATTATTTTATTACACAGGCTGGGCTTTTTGTGTCAGTAGTTTATATGAAGTGATTTATGGATTTGGAGCATGTTTACACCATTAAATCACTTTATATAATTAGTAAAACGTTCCAAGCATTTATAAAATTCTACTTTGTGTGCTGAACATGATAAATGTTTGTTATGTAACTAATTAACTGCCAGTTGAGTAAAGATTTTAAAATAATGCAGGACGTTTCATTTCAACTTATCAGTCATTCTGGGATAAAACTGTCCTGGACAGAAAACAAACTGTACGGAGAAGAATCTACCAAAATATATATATTTACGAAGTAGCTGACTCCAGTATCTATAGTTTAGCCGGAAGTGAAGACAACTTTTGCTATTCTAACTGAATTTGCTGTGTCTGATTTTTTTTTGTGTACATTTCCTGTGTCCTAATTTGTTTCACATACAGGTAGTAGTTTTAATGGTTCAGTGGAAGTCAAAGATCCTCTATTATATAGAAATATAATGTTTTTATTTATCTCCCGACAATAATAGAATTCCAAAAAATATTAGTAGTTATGCACCCATATATACATTCCTCTGATGTTATCAAATAGATTTATTTTTTAACACAATATTATTATGTCAATTCTGCTTCAAAAAGTATCTCAGTATCTCCGTCATGTTCAGAATAAATTCGATAAAAAATCAGACATGAAATTTGACATTTTCTGCTGATGACCGTCTCACTTTTTAAAAGGGGAATGCTGTCCACCTCTGCGAAATGCATCGACTTGGATAAGAGTTAAAAAATTTAATGAAAACAATTATCACAATGATTCTGAGTCCTAAAATAACTTGAACTTCTTCCGACTACGAAATTTTGTATATAGTCAGACCTCAAGCAGTTTAAATGTATGAAGTTAGCAGAAATCGACTAAATTGCACAGTATCACTATTATTGTTCTATTTTGTGGTCATGAATAAAAAAGTTGACACATTATTTAAACGAAATAGATGACTATTTGGAAGATAACAAAACTTGAAAAAGGAACTGCCGAACGTTTTGTGGAGTTATGCAACACACAATATAGCCGAGCTATTTTGGTAGAACAAAAAAATAGTAGCAATTGAGTAGTTTTAGAAAAAAATCTGTGTTATTGATGTCTGTCATTGAAAGAATTAGTGTAAGTGGTAATACGACTGTTACACAAACCACAACCCCTACCATGAAATGATCCGTCATTTGAACAACAGCATAAGACAGCAGTAGAACTAAATAAAAACGCTAAACTCACAATGCGATATGAAAGTCGACCAAATCCACTTTTACTCTAAATTACAGAGAACACGAGCGTGCACAATTTACAAACAAGTGAAATTTTCATGTATACAGTATAACATTGTAACTATTAAATACAAAAAACTTAAATGTCACAGTGACGTAAACTTTATTTGTGTTTAATCAGATTTCATACAGAACAGTGACATCAGTCATATTTTTGATGAATTAATAACAGCCAACACCATAGATGATGACATTAATAGAAATTGATATAATAATGTTGCTGAACTGTCACAGATTACGGATACAACCTACAATACAATTTTAAGCCAGACTGCAGATGTATTTTACAATTTTTTGTTTAAAATATACCATATACAGTGGTGGTAAAAATAAAGTAGGACACTTTTCTTTCCCTAGTGTAACACTGGTGTAACTTTCAAATCTGTATTGACGTTTAAATGTCATTGTTAATGAATACCGCGTGTCCAAAAAATTTAGGGCAAATGATATAGACATCAAAGTCATATTCCTGTTGCGTTTCATTGATGTATGAGAACGACTGTACCTCTTCAATATAGTCCAGTTTACACAACTCAATTAAAAAAAAAAACTACTTTATTTTAGCCACCACTGGACATATTAAAATAATCTTAAAATGTTTTGATCGAAAATTATATTTAACTCTCTATATAATCAGAGCTCTAAAATAAGTTAGCATGATACCTATTTTAGAGCAAACAGTAGAATCTCTTAATAAAACTATTTGCCTCTGTACATTTTTGTCTACATGTTTTAGGGAAATATAAAGGAAGATTAACATTACCGTCGTCGATAAAAACACCACAATCCTGATAAGAGACCGCAGTAATAAATATATTATTTTTGACGGTTTTATTTATTTTCTATATTGTTTTAGGTTTATACTTTCCTAAATACTATTGTTTTTCATCCTTCCAATCGTTGTTTGGCGAATTTCTGGTTTTCACAGCTTCTTCTAGTCTTGTCTTGATCTCTTTCTACAGTAACTACGAAATTGTGACTTTTTTGTCAGGTTGGCAACATATTTAAAATTTTATAATGGCTTACCCGCAATCATTAATAGTCACCCGGTATTTACATGATCAAATTTATAGTTCAAACTTTGTAATTGATCCGGGTTTCAAAAATTCCAAAATAGCATATTGTTACGAAATAGACCTATACGCCGCCTCGGTACGACGACTCATCATCGATGAAGCCTGGAAGCGGAAGTCGCTCCAGAATAAACCTAGAAGCGGTGACGGAGACTGTTCGAGAAGGACCGCGTGGCTGTTTAAATGGGAGCAGTCAGTGAAGTCCAGACAATGGGAGAAGTAATCTAATCAAATCCGTTCTAGTTGAGTCGGATTATTCTGTACATAATCGCCTTGTAATTAATTAGTCGTGTAAATTCGAGTTACTACGAAATAAATTGATGAGTTTTACCCACGCCAATTTTAAATACCCGTTCAACGTTGTGATAACCCAAACATTCCGTTCAAAAAATTGAAAGCCCGCGAAAAATTAAAAAATTTGGAATGCGTTCAGATGCAATTAAGTGGTGGACCCCAAGGTTAGAAAAGTACCGCTAAATAAAACACAAAGTATATGGAGGACACAAAATCATTTATTCCTCCACTGACAAAAAAAAAAAAAGAAAAAACTGCGACTAAGTTGCGCTGTTTGAAGACCTCTTAGTTCTCAGCTACAAAAAAAAACTTGCCTAACTTCGAATTTAATCAAATTAAATATTTGAATATCACAAATTTAATAAAAACAAAGAAAAATCTGAATTAAAGTATCTGGATGCAAATACACAAGCTATTAGGAGCGTGTGGTGGCAAATTTAAAATTATGGTAGTCAACAAGCCAACAAAATTTTATGCACCGAGCCGCATAACGACAGCGGCACTAGGGCGCCTCCTGGTGAACGCTTATGACTCCAAAAGTTGAGGGGTACCCGAGTCGCCATAAGAGTTGGGGCTCCTGGTTGTGGCTGTTCTCCCACCACGATGATTCTATTCTATCGGCAAGCACATACGGCTCAGCACCCCTATTTTACGAAGAAACGTGCCGTTACGGTCGCAAACTCGTGGTTGAAAATCCCGGCTATTGGAATAAATCGTGAGGGTCACGTCATCCCGACCGCTCCCATGACTTCTATTCAAGGTCTGTGTCTTTTGTGCAGTTGGTGCGATAAATCCCGCCAGCTCGACTAGGAACCGCGCCCTCCGCTTCTGCCACGTGTTTCTGTGTTATTTACTTCAATTCCATTTAAATGTTCAGTTTCGATAACTCTGATATTAACCTACAACCGAACAAGTGTTAAAGTTTCAAAAAGAGCAATAAACAACATTTGAATTCGCCATACACTCTCGTAAAATTTCTAAACAGCAAAGAATTTTTATCTGAGAAAGAGCTGGTGTGAAGTAAAACTTCTGTAGACAAAAAAATTACGTGAGGTTAGGAATTCCAGAGCATGAAAATTTACTGAGGCTACAATTGTGAAGTGAAAAATTGCAAAGCTAACAAAATTACATGATTTTAATTTTTGCCACACGTTATTAACGATTCAAACAAAGAATTTACATGATGTTAAATTATGTCACATTTTATCCACGATTCAAACAAAGAATTTACATGATGTGAAATTAGGCCTTGACCCAAGTGACTGGTTACTTAAAACATGAATTTAGCTTTGAGAGTTTATATCGTGGACCGTCCCCAGCGTATCCCAAACAAACACACATGATAAATAAACACAAAATGCATCTCGCGTCGCGAGATTACGTCTAGGTGCTGTGATTTCCCTCGTCATGAGAAATGTCTCGATGATGTGATGATGATAACAGCCTAAGGGAAAAAATTTAATTCCCCGTCCTTCAGTTCACGATATTATGAATTCTACCGCACTTTCCACGGTCCCTTTTCCAGAGTGGGACAACTTTAGCTTGATTTAACTGCCGTAAATGAACTATTAGCAATCTTGTGTGAGGAATTAAGAAGTGTTATAATGTAACACCTAACTATAAGCATCCAGAAACCTTATTTACAACTTGATAAACAAAGGATGAGTCCTGACTAAGTGAATCTCATGAAATCTCCTAGCAAGCGCTTTATCTAAACAATCTCATGACTGTCAAATTGTGTTAGAAGCAGTAACGATTAAAATCCTAACATGAACTGTGAATTTGCAAACAATAAATCAAATTAGCGTCGGTCGAAAATTCGCATATTTCCGATTAGAAAATATTTTTTCTAACTACCAAACCAACTAAACTTAATCTAGCTTCTTTAAGGTGTCTTTTCGCTCACACCACGCAAACAACAGTCAAGTGTCACCCCTCTACAATCAGGCGCGGATACAGGATTTCGTTTAGGGGGGGGGGCAATTTTTGTGAGATTTTACCTATCTCCCAGAAATTCGTTCTAAACAAAAAAAATTATAAAATTTTAAATAGTATACTCTTTTTCACATAACATGGGTGACATTTGGTTGTTTTCGTTACACGTATAGTGTACAGTAGAACCAAAGATTAAGGAAAGTACTTTCTTTAATCTTTGGTAGAACCTCGATAATCCGAATTAATTGGGAAAAAGGTGTGTTCGGAATAACGATTTGTTCGGATCAGCGATTTTCCCAAAAATCTGAAAGGAAATTGAACAACAACTTCATACACAGTTGAAAACAAACTTCAAGAAATAAACCTTAATTTTATTAAACAAAATTAAAGAATTCTTAAGCAACAATGGACAATAGATACATTCTAAAAAAATATTACTCCGTGACTATAAACATCTTTTTGGAATCAACACGCCGGGATCTATACCCTGAATTTTTTCAGAATTTTTAGACGAATTTTTCAAAAATGAAATTTTCCATTATGTATTTTCGACGATTTTCGAAATTTAACTAAATACATTTTCTTGTAGATTTTGGGCCTCAGAAGTCACTTCTGGCTTTTTTTTTCCAGATTCGTCTAGTTGAAATACTTATGGCAATTTTTTAAAATTTCGAAAAATTCGAATTTCACACCGAATTTTCGAAAATATTGCTCGGTTACCATTAACAGCGTACATATATCCGTGAATTTTTTTCAGAATTTTTAGGAAACTTTTTCAAAAATTGAAATGTTCCTCATGCAAATTTCGACCCATTTTCGACGATTTTCGAAATTTACCTACCTAAATACCTTTTCTTGCAGATTTTGGGCCTCCTTTCTTCGATAACTTCAACCTTTTTTCCAGAATTAGTTAATTAATTCAGTGCATTGAAATATGGCAATTTTTAAAAATTTCAAAATACTTATTCCATACAATATATGTAGAAAGATCTTGCGTCATTTTTGCAAGTAGGTGCGTGTTTCCAAATTCAGTTTGGTTGCAGAGTTTTTGTTCGAATTAAAGAACCAATGACTTCAAATAGCCTCTGTTCGGATTACTGGATGTTCGGATAATCATGAATTCGGATTGTAGAGGTTGTAGGTACTGTATTTACAAAATGAAATGCGAAATTTTGAAATTGGTCAAAATAAAGCACCCATTGCCCCCCCCCCCCCCGGATCCGCGCCTGTCTACAATACAAAGGAACTATCAACCCTCTCACTAGATACTCCCCAGAAATTCCCTAGACGAGCTATCAACTACCAGAAAAGAACTAGACTTGTACATAGTTGCCTATGTTTAACGATTCTCTTTATTATTTGTTTTTTTTTTTTCCAAATTTAAATTATTCAATTGCAATTCCGCGCCGTTGTTTTTTTTTTCAGTGCGAAATTTTAATTCAAATTTGGTCACCACAATGTAACAATATAAATAGGTCATATAGGTAATCTTTGTCAAGAATTGCAAAATACATGTACATTTCGTAGCTGAGATAAAAGACCAACGATCACAGTTTTAATATTTAATTAATTAACGGAAGTTGCTTGACCATCCATGAATATGTTTCTATTTGAAGGCAACAAAAACTATATTTAACTGTCCAAATACTAGAAATGTAATCTAAAATATTTTATCTAACAAATTTCCAAAGCACCTAACTACCTCTGCGCTAATTCCTTGATAATTTTACTGATAAGCCGCAGCCAGGTACTGTTTTTCCAAAGTACTGGTCTATGTACATTTTTACATATTCTTCAGTAAAGAAACCTGTTATAAAATAATTTATTGAAAATTTTCGAAAAATATGACCTAGTATTTCCCCCCCAGAACGTGTATTATATTTTCTTGCAAATTGCCAGCCCTAATATCCTGCGAGATCCTGAATAGCGGTACCAACTAACAGTACCCAAATTGGACCCATGTAACCTGTGTACTATAGAAACAATTGAAATTTAATATTAAAAAGTTATGTTGGCAACATCCGACAAGATGCGACAATTTAATATGACAGGGACCTCTAAAGTACGTAACTTGGTGTTTTTTGGATAACATCATCTATCAGTAGGTGTGGGCAATAATCTTTCATAAGGTGTTTTCGTACTAATACCACACTGGTTGGTCAATTTTTTCCACGTGACTACAACAACAGCGACGTGATTGGACTTTATCCCGACAGCTTTAACCCGGTAAACTACAGTACAAAAAAAGCCCATTGCATCGAGAAAACATTCCTGTTGTAAACCAATCAACATTTTCTAAATATCATCGCAAATTAATAAACAAACGTGAAATATCGGACTTTCCTCGCTCATTCTAGCCTAACGAAATTAAAAATTACCGCAATTAACTACTTTCTTAGCAAGTCGACTATTTAAATGAAACCATAACGCTAGAAAAAGCCACCAGCTCTTGGAAATCGTGTTTAATTGCGCATAATTAACAAATTATAACGTTACTTTCCGACCCATAAATCACCATCACGACGTCTAGGGCTGGCACCGGCGGCCCGATAACGACGCTCTTATCAGTTTGAGTCGAAAACCAAACACACCAAACAGATCCAGAGTAAACATCGACGCCCAGTTCCGAGACACTTTGGGTAATCCAAGTTCTCCGAATTGTCAATCCACCCGCCTTGTCTTAAACTTGGGAAGCCCACCGCGGTGACAGTTATGACAGCAGTTCAAAGCTTCCCGCCAAGCGTAGCGTGCTTCGGGATTTACGAGGCCGGCCGTAAAAACGCTCAGTAAAAATCGGCGGTGATATGTGTTAGTCACGAACGCAAATGTTGCATTTTCCTGCCGGTTTGACGGCGAAATTCGCACGGAAATTATTAAATTTAGTAAAAATCCCAGCGCGCAACTCGTCCGGACTCGACCATTTTTCCTATCGGCCAGTGGCGGTGCCCCAGTAATAGAAAGTGATGTGGTCGTGTTGGTGTTTTTTTTCGTCGCACCGATGATGATTTATTGCCGTTTTCACGCTTTATTTTTACTTTTAGTCGGTTGCGACAATGCGAAAATGTAAAAACCTGCCCTGCACAGTGCAATAAGTGAAAACGCGGCGTCCAACACACTTTTGTTTACGTGAAATGGAAAGTGATATTTGCCTTCTCTATCACAATATGATCTCATCACCTAAAAGTTAATAATAATTTCTAGTGTGTGTTATCGGTTTTGTGCGATTTGCGAAACGACTGGTGGTTTTTAATATGAAGAAGCAATTTTTCCGGGTCAAACAACTCGCCGACCAGACTTTCCTCAGGTAATAATAACCCCTCGAACATAACCCAACTTGCGATTTTCCAAATCGCCGATTTCCCCCTGGCGAGTCGTGGAAGTTTATCAAGCCGCCTGCGATAAACAAACGACGACGACGTCAAGTTTGAGGTTATGGGCACCTACACCCTTCAAGGTTTCCAATTGAGACAACAATATAATGATCTGATTGCTTCTACTTATCCCATTGTATCCAAATTAACCCAATTATGCGCGTTCCGTTAATGACGGTCTTCGATGTTGCAGGGCCGACAAAAGCGAAGTCTTGAACAATGAAGAACTTCAAGTGGCTGATCAGAAAATCGAATACCTACGGACGGCCCTGACCGCCATAGTCAAACACATACCGCATTCGGGGCAGAATAACGACATCGACAAGAGAGTCGTAAGTGTCTTCAACCCAGTTGCTGCTGTGAATTCTCGAACGAAAAGTTTGGTTTTCTCGGTGGGGGGCAAGTTTTGAGTTAGGCTATGTTTGTATCACTTCTGAAAGCGTTTGTTCTCTCATCGCCTTGTCCTCCTAGAGGTAAAAACAGTTGTGAAAACGAGAGTTGAGAAATCTGTCTGATTTGTTTATTCAGCAGGAAAACATCTTGTTCAGATGAAAGTGAGGATTGTAATTTTTTCAGAAACCTGTTCAGTGATACAGATTGGATGCAAAAAGTACGAATTCACCAATAATAAAATCTGGAAGGGTTAAAACTAATTAATATGTTGAATTAAAATTCCAAAACGACACAGAATTGGGGAAACTTTGTAAAAGAATTATTTAGACGCACGTCTAAGTTTGTTTTCCCGCCGTATCACAGTTTGTAAAGTACGGAAATGTCCATTTATAATAACCTTTGAAATTTTTGGACTAAGTATTGGGTAGTTTAGGTCCACTTTAAGAATATTGCGAAAATGATAAAACGGTAATCAAAGTTTGTCAACCATCCCCACCAAAAAACTTTGTTAAAGTCTCATTTAAAATTTATATTGTGACGTACTCCTGTTTCTGTGGTTTAATAGTGTGTGCATATTATTAACCTTGCACATATAGGTGATTGTACAAAAAATGTAGCCAAATAATTATTATGATTTTTTTTTCAAAAATTAAGACAGGTTTAAGTAGCATTTACTTCGCAAAATTTTAAGACGACGTCATTAAATTGGTGGTGGGGATGATCAGACACATTTTGGTTAGCGTTTGACCATCTGCATAATATTCCTAACATACATGTAACATTTCACGACGATCAGTTCGGATTTTTGGAGATTATCTGTTTAATAAAAGACCAATACACGCCAGATAGACAGACAGACCGACGGAAACAGGAGATCTATTTTTTATAATCTAGGAGTTACGCAAACGCCTGAGAAGTAAAAATAAAACGAACTTTATTGAAATTTCGTGAGGTGCTAACACTGATTTAATGACTAATCCCTTCTAGAATATTTATGACGTCATCCCAAAAAATTATTAAGTATATGTTTGTTTAATAACGTGCTTTAAGAGGCAGTGTTGTTTATGTCGCACAAATTGTCTCAAAATAATTAGTGGATAAAGCAGTTTATTTGACCGATTAAATAAAAAACAACACATTTAATTTTTTCAAAATTCTGGGACGACTGTTGTGGTTATTAAAATTATGTTGTAGGTTTTAAAATTGGTGTATTGCTATTTTAATTCGATTTAAATCAAGCGATTTTTTTAATTCTTGTTTTCTTAAAGTATGTATAGTAATCGACCGTCTGTCTGTCTGCCTGTCTGTCTGTCTGTCTGTCGGTCTGCCGTCTGTCCGAATTTTTGTTAGACCGATTGTTGTCATATTTTATATGTCGTGCAGGTGGTCAAATGCTAATCAAAATTTGGCTAACCATCTATATCTAAATTTACACTTGTAAATATTATTCAAATTTTATAAAATAGGATACCTCTGCATATGTGGCTTATGAATCTGTGTTGAGTTTTTACCTTAGACATTCATATTTGAAAACTTGCAGGAGTTTTAACGTTATCCTAGGCATGGTAAATTGTTAATTGGAATTTTTTCGTTTAGGAAATGATAACGTCATTTTATAATTTTTCCGAATAAATGTTTCTTAAATTTAATAGGATTACATACACTGAGCTGGGGAAGTTCTGTCGAGATAACTTTGAACCAATTTTTTCTAATTTTATGAGCAAGCAGAAGCCACGCCTACCCACACCTTCTTTGTTCCAGTGAGTAGCAGGTTTTAGCCCCGCCCACCCACCCTTTTATTTCTTAGAGGATATGTCATTTACCAAAATATATTTTATCTTAATAAGTACTTGCCCGCCCACCTGCCCTCCATTTTCTTAGAAGGCATGTCGTCTGCCATAATCAGTCTTATCTTAACAACTACTAGCCCCACCCACCCACCCCTTCTTCGTTCCAGTGATTACTCTGAATATTGTTCTGTCCTATCTTGCCAAATTTAACCCCGCCCGCCCATCCTTTCTTTCTTAGAGGATGTCATTTACCAAAATCAGTCTTATCTTAACAAGTACTGAAAGAACGGGTGAGTGGGCGGGGCTAAGTTTAACTTTTTCCTACAGAATCTTTTATGAGCAAGTTGTAGCCCCGCCCACCCACTCCCTTTTCATTCCAGTGATTCCTCTTAATATAATTATATTAAGTCATTTAGCAAAATCAATCTTATCTTAACAAGTACTAGAGAATCCTTGTTGAGTTTTTTTTACCCTTTTGGGAAAAAATCAAAATTGTGTAAGAATATTTTACAATTTTACTTTGAAATTGCAGAAACTGAATGCTGTGAAATCTTTCAAATAATTTAAGTATGTAAATCGTCCATCAAAATTTGTCTCATATTAAAATTTTGCCCAATAAACGTCTTCAAATTTACGAGTGTTTTTGGAAAAAAACTGAGTGCTTAATTAATTAGTCAATTAATTAATTAGTCCTGCTTTAAGGAGACAAATCATTGAAATTTCATTTTATTTTAACTGTTGATGCTTGTAATTTGAACCTGCTTAATAGTCGAATTCTTTCTAAATGTAAACATAAACAGTCAAGCATGTTCTGGGAAATTGCGAATATCTATTTATATTTTTACTTCCCGAGCGTAAGTGATCGCTCGTTTCCTTCTTTATATAATAATCATAAAATAAGAATTATAATGTTCATAACATTTTGTTAATAATTTTAGTCCTCTGTTTTGAGAAGACAATGCAACATTTTCGAAAAAATCGCTGCGAAATGCGAATTTTTGAAAATTTCAAAAATTTTGAAATTTCAACGGTCGATTCTGGAAAAACGGTTACAGGTATCAAAAAAGCGAAGCCGGATTTGAGTTCTAGAGCTCGGAATCTACAAGAAAATGTGTTTAGTTGAGTTTCGAAAATGTCAAAATTTTTGCGAAATTTGAAGAAGGGGGGACCATTAAAAAATTTTAATTTTAAAAAAGTTGTCTGAAAATTATGAAAAAATTCTGAGACGTAGATCTCGACACGCTGATTCCAAAAATATAGCATGTTGATGGTCACGAAGCAACATTTTCGAAAAATCGCTGCGAAATGCGAATTTTTGAAAATTTCAAAAATGTCGAAATTTCAACGCTCGATTCTTGCAATTACACTCCACCTCTCGGTCTAACAACGAATGAAAAATTCATCACAAATGAGATCGGGGCGGGTGGGCGGGGCTTAATCTTTGTTTATTCTTTAATGTATAGCATTTTCTTTCAACAACAATAATACACATGTTTTCAGTTTCTTGTGGGGAAAAGACAACTTCGTATATAAAGAAAAAAATGGATAAAATATAAGCCCCGCCCACCCACCCCATCTCAATTGTGATGAATATTTTATTCATCGTGAGTTGAAGGAGCGGAATTTAGTTGCAAAACCCTCATTTTTCTACAAGAAATTACCATATGAAATATGTTTTTAAAAGGATAGAATTTTTTAGAGAAATAATATGTTACAATTAAACTCCGCCCTTCGGTCTGATTAGGAATGAAAAACTCATCACAATTGACATCGGGGTGGGTGGGTGGGGCTTAATCTTTCTTTTCTTTTTCTTTTTGTTTTTTCTTTATATACACAGTTTTCTTTCAACAATTTTTTCCCGCAAAGAACAAGAGATATAATAAAAAATATAAAGTCAATCTATGATTCAGTAATTTAGGACTGTACTCCTAATGTAAGTCACGTAGAATACTTTCTCGCTTTTGTCGAAAAACTGAAAAATCTAAAATTTGAAAAATTAAAAATTGAAAACGCGTGAAATTTCAAACCGAAAAACTGCAAAATGCAAAAATTGAAACGTCCAAAAGTTGGAAAGTCGGTAAACTGGAAAATTTGAAAATGAAAACTCGAAGAGATATCGCAAAATTGTAGAAAAAAAACCGAAAACTTGAAAAATTGCGCTTTAAAAAAACAAAAAGTTATAAAATTGGAACATTGAAAAATTGTAAAAATAAAGAAAATAAAAAACTGAAACGAAAAATTGCAAATGGAAAAATTAAAAACTGAAAACTGGAGAAATTCAAGTCCAAAAATTGCAAAATCCAGAAATTGAATTGAAATGTTGAAAAATTGAAAAATTAAATTTAAACTTCAAAACTCGAAAAAATGAAGGAACAAAAAAATGAAAAATTGAAGAAAAAATTCAAGTCAAATAAGATCCGGGAAGAGGTTTCAGAGAATTTATTTGGCTGCACTTCAGGGGCGAGGGAAGTTCTGTTGAAATAACCTTCGACTAATTTTTTTATTCAAGTAATCTTAGACCTACTAGACCGATTGTAGTCAAATTTTTGTATGTATATTAGAAATATCATGTAGATGGTTAAACGCTAACCAAAATTTTTCTAATCATCCCCACCAACAACGTGATAACATTCCTTCAAATTTTTTCGTAAAAAATAGTAAATAAAATTTTCTTTTGATTTCTTACTTCTTTTGTTTCCTTGACGTTTCATGACTCCTAGAGTTCGAAAAAATAATCTCCCGTTTCCGTGTGTTTGTGTTTGTCTATCGTCTCTAGTCTACGACGATTTTATAAGACAGATAATCTCCGAAATTATTGGAGTGATTGTTTATCAAGTTTTACGTGCATTTTAGGATTAGCATGTAGATGGTAAAATGATGATCAAAATTTGTTTGATAATCCCGACCAACAATTTGATGACGTCACTTAAAAAAATTGCGTAATAAATGTTGTTTAAATTTTATTTATTTATTTATTTATTTTATTTATTTTATTTATTTTATTTATTTTATTTATTTTCCAACGGGGTTACACCCAATTACAGGAAAAATATAAATGGAAACTGAACAAAATTAAAAATTAAAAATTAACAATTAACAATTACAAGAAAGTAAAACTAAAAAGAAAAAAAAAATTCTATCCATATAATGATTGCTTAACACAACTAACAATTTTGTTAATCGAGTCAAAATTTATATCGCATAAGTGTGAAATTTGATTGAAATAACTACACATAATATTAACTGGAGATCTTCTTAAAACGTTAGTTCTGTCAGCAGTACAATAAAATACGTGATTATGGCGTGCATTAATTCTTGGTACAAGAAAATTTAAATAGTGAAGCAATTCAGGGCAGTCTACTTGATTTCTAACTAAATAAACCAAAAATTTAATGGCGATAATAATTCGTCTTTTATGTAATGATAAAAAATTAAATCTTAATAATAATAACGAGTGGTCATATCCTCGACAAGGATAGACCCCATCCAAAAGAAAAGACATAAATTTTAAGAACAAGCGTTGAACCGATTCTATATGATCAATATGGTTTTGATAAATTGGAGACCAAATTAAGGCACCATATTCAATTCTCGATCTGACTAGTGCGAAAAATAGAGCCTGTAACGTGTCGACACGCTTAAAGTCACGACAATTTCTGTAAATAAATCCATACGTCCGAAAGCATTTGGAAACCATATCATTTATATGATCGACAAAACTAAGCTTACAATCAAAGAGGATACCAAGATCTTTAATAGACTCACATCGCTTAATTAAAGTACCATCTATATTGTAAGAAAAGAGTATATTATCATGTTTTCTTGAGTAAGTTACGATGGAGCATTTATCAAGATTTAAGTAAAGTCGATTTACTGAGCACCAATTAACAACAGCTGTTAAATTGTTTTGTAGATTTAGACAATCCTGTATCGAGTTGATTTGGAAGAAAAGTTTTAAATCATCTGCAAACATTAACTTTTTGCAAGAGATGTTATCAACGATATCATTAATAAAATATAAAAATAAAAGTGGTCCAAGGTTAGATCCATTTTATAAAATAAGATGATCCTATGCTTGTGGTTTATGAATCCGCCTCGAATTATTTAATTTATAGGGGTTATAAAAAATAAAATTAATTCGTAGACAAAACTACGGAACCGATGACTTCAAAATTTTAAAGCTATTTGTTATCCCCTCCAAACAATTAATTACGTCATTTCAGATTTTTTTTTAAGCAAATCTTACGTGAAATTTATAGCGTGGTATGTTCCTTTAGTTGTTGCTTAATAGTGTACTCCAGCTTTTAATCGTACTTATTATAGATGTATCAATAAATAAATAAATAAGTACAATATTTAGAATGTAATTTTACAATTTGACACTACGTTGCGAACTTCCTTGAGATTTTGATAAGACATCATATTGATTTAGTGATTAGGATGACAGAATATCGATTAAAAGTATTTCTTCATATCGTTCGTATTTTCTTGGTTTTTCTATTTATGCAATACAAAAATCCCGATTTTTCTTTTTACTACTTACCGAGCATAAGCCAAGGAAGTATTGTAATAGGGTCCATCGACATTTCATTGCTCCTAGAGTGCGTTTTCGTCTGTTTGCCGTCGTGTGTCATTTTTTATTAGACAGGTAATCTCGGAAACTACTGGACTGATTATTGTCACATTATATACATATGTTAGGAATATTGTGTAGATGGTACACCGCCAAGCAAAATTTGTCTAATCATCTCCAGCATCAATGGAATGTCGTCATCTCCAAAATCTACAATAATAATTATTTAAATTTTATAAAATAACATACTCCTACACTTGTGGTTTATGAATTCGCGTTGACTTTTCACCCCAGACATCCCGACTTAATTAGACCCTCACCCAACCTTTCGTATTTGCAGAGAAAATGCACCGAGCACCACCTCGGAACCGTGTTCCAGGAGCTCACCGCCCGCAAGAACGAGGCGGGCGACCCCCAGGAGTACCTCAACGAGCTCTTCAGCCCCATAATCGGAAAGTGCGGCTTCGTGCAGCTGGATTTAGCAAAAGTTTACGCAGAATACGAGAAGCAAGTAGAAGAATTAGTTAGTGCCCCCATACATTCGTTGCTTGATGGGGAATTCCGAAATATTTTAAAACAAAAGCGCAATCTTTCTAAATATATTCTAGATAAGGATTCGGCAAGCAATAGGTATAATGTAAGTTTGAGGGGGCGCTTTTGGGGTCGTGTTTGATCGGTGCGGTTGCAGGCCACTAAAAAAGAAGCTTTAAGGGATGACATGGAAGAGGCTGATTATAAAGTAGAACAAAGTAGGGACGCTTTAGCTTATGAAATGTTTAGTTTGCTGGCGAAGGAGAACGACTTGTCGGGGTACATGCTGCAGATTTTGAAGTGTCAGAGGGCGTATCATGAAAGTGCCTTAAATAATTTGAAGGATGTGATTCCTCAGCTCGAGAAGCAGATCGGTAAGTTGATAAATTAAGCTATTTTTCATGAGATCGCGTTGGAGATTTCGTTTTGAAAACTGATTTGTTCAAGAATAATAAGCAGTGATTATTTTTGAACTATTTATGTTCCATTTTATGTTATATCGAGCCGCAATCGCAGAAGGAACTAAAATTAGGGATTGTCCTTGGGTGTGTGGTCAGGAAAATATTAATCACCATTATAAATGTCATTGCAAGGGATAAAATATCACCACTTTGAAGTATTTTTGTATTTAAGTAGGTTTTAGCGTTCCCCGGTTCTGATATTTTGTGATAAACTTTGGCTTCCTTACTGGTTCATATTTATTATAATTTACTCTCGTTCCACAAAAACGGTTATTGTTCATTTTTAGAAAGATTATTTTAATTACGTTTCGGTAATTATCCTGCATTCTGGTATTTACGTTGCGTCAGCGGCATTTACTTTGTCTACATCCTGATGTTCGAGTGTTTATTTATCACGAATCGCTATTTTAAATTTGTTAACATATTTTTTACATATCGTGTACATTTTTTTAATCTTGATTTATATATTCGAGTTGAATTAAAATTACAAATTAAGTCTGATTTTTTCGTATCTTTAAATGAAAAATCGATGTAGTCTAAATTGGAAATTAGAAAGAGTGGTATGTGGGTCAATCCACAACACAGTGAATTTTTTGATGGTGAAAATGGCGTATTAAATATTCAAATTAATAAATTAGTGTTAAATCTTACACCTTCACGTACTGTGTGAATCGTGCTTATTTAAAATAATATTACGTAGTTAATTTTGTTTGTCGTCAGTTTTTGTTAATGTTATCAGTGTTTACGTGGTCGCTTTTTATCCATCCGTAACTGACTCATTAAAGTTAATATCTGGGATAATTTTATTTAAAAATACCATTATTTTATTGTTCCAAGCTTTTTGAGTAAAGTAAACTTCAAACACCTGCAAAATTAAAAATTGAAGTCACTCAAAGATTTTTCCTTGAGATAGTTTCACCGGTTATCGTCAAACAATCCACTTACGATGAACATTTTATCGGTCTCGTCATTCCGAACTCTGGGAAATATTTTTCGATAGCGTCTGATTCAGATATAATAACATTTTTGTTTCCGCTGATTTTTATCAATTGTTTCCACGTGGTGTGCTCAACACATGTTGTTTTATTTGTAATTTCTTTATAACTCGCTTTTCTCGATTTAATTCACTTTTACGAGGCATAAAATTAGTATAAATACTGTCGTTTTTTATATTGCATTATGCTATGTACTTTCTCTCTCTCACGCAGATTATGTATGTGTGTTAATGCTGCAGTTTTATCATCGAAATTTATGGTGTTATTATTTCGTTTTTTGGCATTGTTCACAGTCGTTTTATTTTTAGAACGACTTAAGATAACATTGGCTGTAATCTGTTAAAGCCGTAAAATCGTCAGCAGGAAATATATTTTAAATTAAAATGAATGATTTTTGATGTTTATTTTTGGTGGTAACAATAATTAATATACATCAGAATATCGATTAACGGAAAATTTTGTAGATACCAATTTCCATAATATTAAAATACAATCCCTACAAAAATTATGTATGCTATGCAGTGAATGTATCCTCAAATGATTTTGGCATTTTGTCGTTTCTTCCATTTATTTGAATGGCTTTAATTTTCTACTTACTGAGAAAATTAAATTGTAGTAAAAAGTAGTTGTTTGTTTTAGAAAACACAAGTGATAATATGATGTGTTCCAGCTCGAGCGAATCAGTTGTTTTGCTAAGCACATGAGATAATTATAGGGAATTCAAGAGGTGGAACGTGTGATTTCGTGATGAGTTGATGACATAACTTCGTGTTTTACCAAGAATTTAATAAATGTTGACTAAAAAGTAGTAATCAATAATTACTTAACATTGTTGACATTGGGAGGTTCAGGATGTTTTTCCGCTCTAATTGTTCCCAGTAGTACAATAAGGTTATTATTTGCTTCCATGTGTGCAGGCAAAACGTAATAAGACAGTCAGTAATATACATTTGGTGATAAAAGAAAAGCTGTTTTTTTCTGTCTACCAACTTAATCTTATGTAAGTATAATTTAAATGAATGATAGTCTGCGGTAATTATTCATTAACAGCGTTCTTGTTGTCTTTCTTTGTCATAAACACCGTTGTACGTTTTATGTGAAGATTGTATCACTTCGAAAACCAGATCTGAAAAATATCCGTTTTTAAAAGTTTTAAACGGTAAATTTATCTTCCGGTTATAAAATGTATAATTGAAAGCTTAAGACAAATATTCCGCTGCCGCTGTCCATCTGTGACGTCGTTTTCACTTTTAGATTCATTGTTCGAGAAATCTGTCGTGGAACGATGTACAACTTCGTAGACAATTAATTTTGCGTAGAATAATACCTAAATGGTGACAATAAAACTTCCTAGTTTTCTAAATATTTAAATAATGTTTTACTTTCTGATAGTGGGTTATCAGTAACTATTAACTATTATAAAATAACGTCTTAGGCATCCAGATTTTTAGAAAATAAATCGAAATTGTAGGACATTTTACAATTAAAGTTTTAAATTGCAAAATCGAGTGCTTCGAAATCTTGTGAACGTTTTAAGGTTAGCTGAAACATTGGACATCCTTAATCAAAATGTATGTATTGTTAATTAAATGTTAAATAGCAACAGACCTGAACTTGTAGTTTATGAATCCGTTTGGAGAAAAATCAAAATTGTATTTCAGTTTTTCGAATTTTCTATTTTGCGTCTTTTCGTTGTCTAGCTTTTTCAACTTTCGATCTCACAGTTTTTCGATATTTTAGTTTTGGAATTTTCCATTTTTTTTATTCTTCGATTTCTCAATTTCTCCTTTTACGATTTTTCAATTTCTCAATTTTTGACGTTTCTAGATTTACAATTTTTCGATTTTTCCGTTTTTCAATTTTTCAATTTTTCTTTCATTTTTCAATTTTTCAATATGCCAATTTTGGAGTTTTCCTAATTTTTCGTCATTTCAGTTTTGGAATTTTACAATTTCTCTTTTAGATTTTCGGTTCTTCAGTTTTCTAATTTTTCAATTTTTTAAAATATTTCACGATTTCTCGGTTTTTCAATTATTCGACTTTCCGATTTTTCGATATTTTAATTTTTCAATGTTTCAGTTGTGAGATTTTTCAATATTTCGATTTTTAAATTTTAGATATATTTTTGGATTTTTTGATGTTTCGAATTCTCCATTTTTCAATTTTTCAATATTTCTAGTTTTCAATTTTTCGAATTTTTCAGTTTTTTAATGTTTCGTTTTTATTGATATTTCGATTTTTCGATTTCTCGAATTTTTAATCTTTTGGTTTTTCGATTTTTCAGTTCTTTGGTTTTTGAAATTTTTTATTTTTGAAATTTTTGATGTTTCAATTTGTCGACTTCTCGGTTTTAGGTTTTTCGATTTCGCGGTGTATCGGTTTTCTTTTATTTAAAATTTTTAACTTTCCGATTTAATTAAAAAGAATCCAGAATCCAGAACTTTCCGATTTTTCGATGTTGGCCTATTTCAATTTCACAGTTAGCGATTTTTCCAATTTTCGATGTTTCGATTTTTCAGATTCTCGATTCTTCAATTTCCTGAGTTTTCAATTTTTCTATCTCTTAAATTTTGGATTTCTGATTTTCAGCATCTCGATTTTTAAATGTTAGATTTTCTTAATTTTTGGATTTTTTTTGTTTCGATTTTTCGATTTCTCGATTTTTCAATTATTCGACTTTGCGATTTTTGGATATTTTAATTTTTCAGTGTTTTAAAAAATCGATTCCACGATTTTTCTATTTATTTTATTTCTTCGATATTTCTATTTATCGACTTTTCGAATCCATTTATAGATCTTTTGTTTCAGTTTTGGATTTTTCAATATTTCGATTTTTAAATTTTCATATATCTTTTGGATTTTTTGATGTTTTCAATTTTTCAATATGTCTAGTTTTCAATTTTTCGAATTTTTCAGTTTTTAATGTTTCGTTTTCTGGATGTTTCGATTTTTCAACTTCTCGATTTTTTACTTTTTCGATCTTTTAATGTTTCAATGTTGGCCCTTTTCAATTTTGCGATTTTTTCATTTTCCAATGTCGATGTTACGGTTTTTCAGATTCTTGTTTCTCCAGTTTTTTGAGTTTTTAATTTTTCGACTTTTTCAATTTTGGATTTCGGATTTTTCAATTTTTCGATTTTCAGCTTCTCGATTTTATGTTAGATTTTTAATTTTTTCAATTTTTGGATTTTCTGTTTCGAGCTTTCGATTTTTAAAATTCGGTTATTTTAATTATTAAATTTTTTAAATTTTAGATTTTTCGATTTCTCGATTTTCGGTTCTTCAGTTTTCAAATTTTTCAATTTTTCGATTTTTTAAATTATGGATTCACGATTTCTCGGTTTTTCAGTTAAGTATTCGACTTTTTAATTTTTCAAATTTTTAAAAAATCGATTTCACGACTTTTCGATTTATTTTATTTCTTCGATATTTCTATTTATCGACTTTTTAAATTTTGGCATCTGGTTTTCGATTTTCAAAATGTTTCAACTTTTCGATTCAATTTCTAGATTTCTCAATTTTTTGATATCTCAATTTTTCAGTGCTTCAGTTTTGGGATTTTTCAATATTTCGATTTTTAAATTTTACATGTATCTTTTGGATTTTTTTCAATATTTCTAGTTTTCAATTTTTCGAATTTTTCAGTTTTTTGATGTTTCGTTTTCTCGATCTTTCGATTTTTCGACTTCTCGATTTTTTACTTTTTCTGTTTTTCATTTTTCCGATAGTTTAATTTTTGAATTTTAAAGATTTTAGACTTTTAGATTTTTCAATTCTTTGATATTTTTATTTTTCAATTTTTCGAATTTTTAAGTTTTCGATTTTTTAAAATTTTGATGTTTCGATTTGTCGACTTCTCGGTTTTAGGTTTTTCGATTTCACGATTTATCGGTTTTCTTTTACTTAAAATTTTTAAATTTCTGATTTTTCTGTTGGCCTATTTCAATTTTTCAGTTTTGAAATTTTTCCAATTTTCGATGTTTCGATTCTCGATTCTTCAATTTTCCGAATTTTCAATTTTTTCAGTTTTTGTTTTTTTTTTTTGTTTCGATTTTTCGATTTTCAATTTTTGGTTATCTTAATTCTTAAAATTTTTAAATTTTAGGTTTTTCGATTTCTCCATTTTTTAGTTCTTTGTAATTTTTTATTTTTCAATTTTTAACTTTCCAATTTTTCGATTTTGGCCTGTTTCGATTTCTTAATTTTTCGATTTTCCAATCTATCGATTTTTCAATTTTTCAATTCCCAATTTTTCGGATTTTCGATTTTTCCATTTTCCAATTTTTCAATTCTTTAAAATTTTGCATTTTCGATTTTCCGGTTTTTCAGTTTTTCAGTGTTTCGATGTTTTGATGCTTCGATTTCTCGATTTTCAATTCATATATGTATATTTAAATCTTTCAGTTCTGCGATGTTTCTATTTTCCGATTATTCGAATGTTTAAATTTTTGATTTTTCAATTTTTCGGTTTCACAATCTTTTGATGTTTCTTGACATCTCGGTTTTTCGATTTTTAAAATTTTTCGACTTCAGTTTCTCGATTTTTCACTTTTTCGATTTTTAAGTTTTAGATTTATCGATTTTTCGATTTTTTTATCTTGCGATTTCTCCCTTTTTCAATTTTTTAATATTGTCAATTTTTAAAATTTGAAATTTTTCTATTTTTCGATTTTCAGCTTCTCGATTTTTAAATGTTAGATTCTTGATTTTTTTTCAATTTTTGGATTTTGATGTTTCGATTTTTCTATTTTCAATTTTTGAATTTTCGATGTCCCGGTTTTTTGATTTTTCAATGTTTCGATTTCTCGATTTTCAATTCTTACATATTTAAATTTTTAAGTTTTAGATTTATCAATTTTTCGATTTTTTTGTTACGATTTCTCCAATTTTCAATTTTTTAATATTCTGATTTTTGAATTTTTCAAATTTTAAATTTTTCTATTTTTCGATTTGTCAGTTCTTTGATATTTCTCTTTTTCAATTTTTCGATTTTTTAAATTTTAGATTTTCGGTTTTTCCATTTCTCGATTTTCAAATGTTGGATTCTTGATTTTTTTCAATTTTTGGATTTTGATGTTTTGATTTTTGGTTTTCAATTTTTGGTTTTTTTAATTCTTAATTTCTTTCAATTTTAGATTTTTCGATTTCTCGATTTTTTAGTTCTTTGATATTTTTATTTTTCAATTTTTCGAATTTTTAGATTTTTGTTTTTTAAGTTTTTTGATGTTTCGATTTCTCGATCTTTCAATTTTTCGAATTTTCCTATTTTTCCATTTACCGATTTTTTTTATTTAATTTTAAGTTTCCGATTTTTCAATTTTTCAATGTTTCAATTTTAAGATTCCCAATTTTTCAATTTCTCAATTTTTCAGATTTTCGATTTTTCCATTTTCCGATTTTTCAATTTTTTTAATTTCGATTTCCGGGTTTTTCGATTTTTCAATGTTTCGGTTCCTCGATTGTCAATTCTTAGATATTAAAATATTTCATTTTTCAATTTTTCGCTTTTTTAAATATTAAAGTTTTCGATTTTACAATCTTTTGATGTTTCTTGACATCTTAGTTTTTCAATTTAAAAAATTTTACGACTTCAATTTCTCGATTTCTCGATTTTTTATTTTTTCGATTTTGAAATTTTAGATTTATCATTTTTTGTTTCGATTTTACCATTTTTCAATTTTTTGATATTTTAATTTTTCAATTTTTAAAATTGAAACTTGTTCCATTTCTCGATTTGTCAGTTCTTTGATTATTATTCTCTTTTTAATTTTTCGAATTTTTAAATTGTGCGTTTTTCGATTTTACGTTTTTTTTTGTTTCGATTTTGCCCTTAAAAAATTTTCTGCAAGAGCAGGAATTTTTCACGAAAGCCGACTTTATTTTATACACCTATCCCCTGTTAACTTACCAGCCTTTCAGGAACTAGAATGAATTTCATATAATAATTTCCGAGAAAATTTTTCTCGAGATTAAAATTCTGCGCTTGTACCAACCCACGCCTGGATAGTTTTGGTTCATTCTAAATTAAAGATGTAGGAAAAACAATAAGGTAAACGATATGCGCAAATTAAAGCCAATCACAATTTACATTGTTACGACAACGCACCAAAAGTTGTATGGTCTAAATTGAAAAATAAATTTAGGAAACCTTTGAAAATGTATTTTGGGTTGGATTTTCGGCTTATAATCTTGAATCAACCTCGACTTTTTTTAAATATTTTTGACGTATACTGTTTATTCATATAACTTATTTGTTTGTCGCTTTTTCAGGTGATAGTTCAGTTAAACGCGTATACGGCATTCCACTCCACGAGCACCTGCGAGTGACGGGCAGAAGAATCGCCGCCCCACTCGACATCTGCATAACCCTCCTCCACCGCCACGGCCTAGAAGAAGAAGGCCTCTTCCGCATAGTGGGTAGTACCTCGCGTGTCAAAAGACTCAAATCCTCCATAGATGCCGGCTGTTTCTCCACCAAACTAATCCCTGAATACACAGACGTTCACGTTTTGGCCAGCGCCCTCAAACTCTATCTCCGCGAACTACCCGACCCTCTCCTTACTTCCAACCTCTACCACAACTGGATGCACTCGATGCAAAAACCCGAATCCGAAAGACTGGACATCGTCAAAGGTTTGATCGCCAAACTACCCGTCGAGAACCGGGAGAATCTAGCCCTACTGATTCAGTTCCTCAGCGAACTGTCGCGGCATCCCCAAAACAAGATGAACCCTAGCAACATAGCCATAGTGATGGCGCCGAATCTGCTGTGGGACGGCGGCGAAGTGATGAACATGGGCAATTGCGCCGCCACGAACATGCTGGTGGAGCTGTTCATCAAAGAAGTCCAGACCTTATTCCCCGAAGACGTCGCAAAACTAGTGAGCTTCCCGTGGATGGACGACGACGGCTTCATCAAAACGACGGTGGAATTCAACGTGAGTTCCGAGAACGTGAGCGTCGCCGAAAGTCCCAAGCCCAGTTCGAGAAAAAAGAAAACCCCAGCTCCGGGTCCCCCCAACAGCATGGTCAGCAAAACCGACCAGGACTACATCCCCAACGACAAGAACGTCATGTCGGCGTCGTACCCGTCGGGCAGTTCCACCCTCAACCGCCCCCCGAAACCCAAAGAACCCGTCGTAAAGTGCAACAAGACCTCCGTCGGAGTGAACACCGACGACAGGAGGATGAGCTTGCACCAGGAGGACACGCACAAGAACGACGTCAGCAAAACGGCGCCTCTAGTCAGTTTAGATAGTAGTAAGACTGTCGCTCATAAGGTCATCACCGAACCGGCGACGCCAGTCCAAGTTTCTAAAGCCAAACCTGTACAGCCAGTGATCGCACAAAACGCTTGTGATAATAAAAATTTTAAGACGACGATAACGCACCCTGTGACCGACGGCGGCGTGACGCCGGTCCAGAAGCCGGTGGCGGCGCCGAGGTCCATCGACGGAGTGACGAGGAGCTCGTCGATCAAGATCGAGCTGAGGCAGGAGGTGCCCGAAGTGCAGCTGAGAAAGCCGGAAATCACGGCAGCGAAACCTGAGGTGGGTAGTTTGGCGCAGTCGGTAGGAACAAAAATTCCGTTTAGGTACAGTACGATAGGTAGGTATTTGTAGGCACAGCTAAAAATAATAATAACATACTTGAGTTAATGTCAGCTGGATCCAAGAATTTCTTTCTGGCACATTTTTTGTCGTTTGTTTTGTAGTTTTTAAACGCCTTTTTTTCCTCGCTTTTTTGACTAACTTTGATTTGTCACTTTTTGTAGTCTTTTTCGTCGCTTTTTATTGCGGGTTTGGCAGTTTTTTTGACCCCTTTTTTCGCCGTTTTTCTCTTTTTGACGTGACAACGTCTTATAATTCGATTGAGCCAGCTGCACGCACGAAAAAACATGACTCATGCGGCGTTACCTCGCTCTGAGGCGTTCCATGTGACTCATGCGGCGTTACCTCGCTCTGAGGCGTTCCATGTAAGGCTTGAAGTGCAAGCGAGAAAATCTAACTTGATCAATTTCATTGTGATTTCTAATTACCTCCTTCTCTATATACATACAAATCTATTAAACAAATGAAATTAAAATTTTCTTTTGAAAAATGCTACCATTCCATCAGTATTTTCTTAAGACGTTGTCACGTTCAACTATCGTCAGTAAACCGACTTTACAGACAACCGATTTTTTGTCTTGCTTTTTTTGCCATTTTTTTAAATAGCATTTTCAGTTGGGTTTTTTGGCACATTTTTTATGGCTTTGTATATTTTTTGGTGGATTTTGTTTTTGTGTTTTATCAATATAGTGTTTTTTGGCGCGTTTTTTGGCGTTTAGTTTTTTTACAAATTCCGTGTTTTTGGCGACTTTTTTTGTTGTTTTTATCCCCCTTTTTTTCTCACTTTCTTGACCACCCTGTTTTAATTTACCCTTTTTTGACATTTATGCTTCGCATTTTTGTTTTTTTTTTTAACCTTATTTTTTGACCTCATTTTTAACTACCTTTTTTGAGTTACACATTTTTTATTTTGGCCCTTTTTATTCTTTTTTTGTTTTTTGGACCCCTTTTCTTCGTCTTTTTGTGTTCTCTGTTTTTCGACTTTTTTGTGAACCTGTTCTGTTTTGTTTTTATGACATAATTTTGTTCTGTTTTTGTTTTGTTTTTTATTGCTCTTTTGTGTTAACTTTTTGTTGACGTCTTTTTTTTGGGATTTTTTTTTTTAGTTAATCAATATATTAATTTTTTAGTCTTTCTGGCGTGTTTTTTTACCGCATTTTTATCTCGTGTTTTTAACTGCGTTTTTAGTAGTTTTTTGGGTACTTTTTTTTGCCGTTTTTGTCATCATGTTTTTGCCGCCCTTTTTTGTCGCTTTTTACTTCCCGAGCGTAAGCTAAAGAAGTATTCTAATCGCGTCCAACGGGTGACTCCCTACTTTTATGTTTTCTCGACGTTCCGTAACCCGTAGAATAGGCCTCTGCCGTCTTTCCGCGTCTGTGTCGATTTTTATTAGACAGATAATCTTCTAAACTACTGGACCAATTGTTATCAAATTTTCTATGTACATTAGGAATATCGTCAACAGTATGTCTCCGGATTGAAGAGGAAAAAAAACTTTATTTTTTATTTTACAAAAAAATGACAAGGGAATAATATTTTTTGCTTAATTCAAAATAAATATGTAAATCTACAATTAAAACTTTAATATTATCAGATTGTTCTTAAAATCGAAAAAGTAATGAAGGAACTTTTTTATTTTTAATTTTACACAAAAAATTGTTCGTTAATTTAATTCTTTCTTCTAGTGAACTCAATGCGGAGACACACTGTAGATGGTAAAACACTAAGCAACATTATTGTTTCTGAATCCGCGTTGAGTTTTTATTCTAAACATCCAGATTTTTGTAAAAAAAAAATAATCAAAATTGCACAACATTTTACAATTTAACTTTGAAATTTTAAAACTGAATGCTCTGAAATTTCGCAAACATTTTAAGGTTATCAGAGTTAATTAATTAATTAAATTAGTTATTTATTAATAAAAATTTATCCATTTTCTTGACCACTTTGTTTTAATTTATCATTATTACTTCGCATTGCTCGTTTTTTTTTTGCCTTTTGTTTGAACTTTTTTTTGGCCATTTTTTGTTCTTGTTTATGTTTTTTTTTCGTTCTTATTTTCTTTTTTTCTGCTCTATTTACACCTTTTTGGTCGCGTTTTATTTTTAAGTCGCATTTTTAGTAGTCTTTTTTGGCACTTGGTCTGCTGTTTTGTTTATCGCATTTTTTTGGAGTTCCGTCGAAATCACTTCAGTTCTTATGTAATGTTTTTAAGTACCTTTTTTTTGTTACTTTTTTTTGGTGCATTTTTTGTGGACTTTTGTTTTTTTGTGATTTATCAATGTATTTTTTCCCGCGTTTTTTGGCATATTTTCTTCGAATTTTCCGTGTTTTTGGCGACTTTTTTGTTGTTTTTCGTCTCACTTTTTTTTCACTTTCTGGACTATTCGGTGGCCTTTTTTGGCATTTTTGCTTCGCATTTTTGAGTTTTTGTGAGCTTATATTTTGTCTCCATTTTTTTGCCACCTTTTTCTTGTCGACTTTTTAGATACACTTTTTTTCAGTTGCACATTTTATGACCTTTTGATTTATTTTGGCCTTTTTTATTTTCTTTGTTTTTTTTTTTTGGTCCCGTTTTTTCGCCTTTTGTTTTGTCGTGGTTATTGTGGCGTTTTTTAATCACATTTTTTTTTGACACCTGCTCTGTTATTTTGTTTATGGCATATTTTTATCTTTTTTTTTGGTCTGTTTTTATTGCTCTTTTTGTTGAAATCTTTTTTTTGAGATTTTTTTTGTTAAATCAGTACATTCATTTTTTGCCGTCTTTCTGTCGGTTTTTTTTTATCGTTTTTGTCACAATTTTTTTGCCGTCCGTTTTTTATTGCTTTATATTTCCCGAGCGTAATCTAAGAAAGTATTGCAGTCGCGTCCATCGGGTGACTCGCTACTTTTATGTTTTCTCGACGTTTCGTGACCCCTAGAATACGAAAACACAGGTCTCTCGTTTCCATCTGTTTGTCTGCCGTCTGTCTGCGTCTGTGTCGATTTTTATTACACAGATAATCTTCTAAACTATCGGACCGATTGTTCTCAAATTTTGGATGTATATTAGGAATATCGTCTACAGTATGTCCCCGGATTGAGTTCACAAGAGAAAAAAAACTATTTTATATTTTACAAAAAAAAAAAAAAAAAATGACAAGAATAATATTTTTTGTTTAATTCAAAATAAATAAATCTACAATTAAAACTTTAATATTATCAGTAATAATAATAACATACTTGAGTTAATGTCAGCTGGATCCAAGAATTTCTTTTTGGCGCATTTTTTGTCGTTTGTTTTGTAGTTTTAAACGCCTCGCTTTTTTGACTAACTTTGATTTTTTTGTCACCTTTTGAAGTCTTTTTCGTCGCTTTTTATTGCGGGTTTGGCAGTTTTTGACCCCTTTTTTTCGCCGTTTTTCACTTTTGTCTTGTCTTTTCTGTTGCCATTTTTTTAAATAGCATTTTCAGTTGGGTTTTTTGGCACCTTTTTTATGGCTTTGTATATTTTTTGCTTGTCCGTATTTTGTTACATTTTTTGACGCCTTTTTTGTCGTTTATCAATCTATTGTTTTTTTTTTTGTCGCGTTTTTGGCGTTTTTTTTTCCCTTACAAATTCCGTGTTTTTGGCGACTTTTTCTGTTGTTTTTGTCCCTCTTTTTTTTCTCACTTTTTTGACCACCCTGTTTTAATTTGCCTTTTTTTGTGACCACATTTTGTGGCCTTTTTATTCCCTTTTTGTTTTTTTGAGCCCCTTTTCTTCGTCTTTTTGTCTGTTCTGTTTTTCGCCTTTTGTTTTGTCGTGGTTATTCTTGCGTTTTCTTTTTTAGATCACATTTTTATTCGACTTTTTTGGGAACCTGTTCTGTTTTGTTTTTAGCGCATATTTTTGTCCCCTTTTTTTGTCTATTATTTAATTAGTATATTAATTTTTACCGTGTTTCAATCGTGTTTTTTACCGCATTATTGTCTCGTGTTTTTAAGTGCGTTTTTTAGTCGTTTTTTTTTCGGGTACCCTTTTATGCCGCTTTTGTCACCATGTTTTTGCAGCCCCTTTTTGTGGCTTTTTACTTTCCGAGCGTAAGCTAATTGTACTTTTATGTTTTTTCGACGTTCCGTAACCCCTAGAATAGGCCTCTCGTTTCTCTGTCTGTCTGTCTGCCGTCTTTCCGCGTCTGTGTCGATTTTTATTAGACAGATAATCTTCTAAACTACTGGACTGATTGTTATCAAATTTTCTATGTACATTAGGAATATCGTCTACAATATGTCCCCGGATTGAAGAGGAAAAAAAAACTTAATTTTCTATTTTACAAAAAAATGGCAAGGGAATAATATGTTTTGCTTTATTCAAAATAAATATGTAAATCTACAATTAAAACTTTAATATTATCAGACTGTTCTTAAAATCGAAAAAGTAATGAAGGAATTTTTAATTTTACACAAAAAATTATTCGTTAATTCAAATATTTCAGCACATGATTCAATTCTAACTCGTAATTCTTTAATTTAATTTAATTCTCTCTTCTAGTGAACTCAATACGGAGACACACTGTAGATGGTAAAGCAGTAACCAACATTATCGGTTCTGAATCCGTGTTGAGTTTTTATCCTAAACATCCAGATTTTTGTGCAAAGAATCAAAATTGCATAACAACATTTTACAATTTAACTTTGAAATTTTTAAATTGAATGCTCTGAAATTTCGCAAACATTTTAAGGTTATCAGAGTTAATTAATTAATTAAATTAGTTATTTATTAATAAAAATTTAACCATTTTCTTGACCACTTTGTTTTAATTTATCATTATTACTTCGCATTGCTCGTTTTTTTTTTTGCCTTTTGTTTGAATTTTTTTTTGGCCATTTTTTGTTCTCGTTCATGGTTTTTTTCGTTCTTATTTTCTTTTTTTTTTCAGCTCTTTTTACGCCTTTTTGGTCGCGTTTTATTTTTAAAA